ATTTAATAGAAGTTGTTAGGTCTTTTTTGGTGTTATAGGTTTGATTCACAAATATTTTATCATTTGGACCTAAACTGTGAAATGGTCCAGGTTCAAGAATAGGTTCTGGACAATCAGGAATAGGAGGAATACAATACCAGGGATTAAAAGCAATTTTCCGTTGTTTGTACTCATTCTCCGACCAACCTTCATTTGATTTTTCATCAGATAATTGATCATCAAAATCAGGTACTTTTCAAAACTAAAATAAATTTTGTTGCTCTAATTCTGCCATGTGCAAATTCGGTTCCTTATTATTATATGATAAAAAGTTATTGTTATCTGATACAAACTTATCAGCAACTAAAGCTTTCTTTTCATAAGTCACTACCACGTCATTTCCTCGTCCCCTAGACTGGTTTCCACCAGATTGTCTATCTCCATGACCTCTACTACTTTTTTCTCCAATAAACTGGTTTTTCACCACTATTGTTCTTCAACTTCTTCATCTACCACCAATAAATACAAATAAACTTTATGCTTTGTTTCATACATTACATGTTTCAAGTATATAGTGAATTATGAACATTGGTTTGGCATGCAGAATTAAAGAACACACAAAGAACATGGTGATTTGGGTGTTTAAGAGATGTATTTGATTATGAAAGGTGTTTACAAAAAGGATCTAGATCTAAATCTACATAATTAACACATACTAACACTCTCAATGTTACATCTCTCAAGCATACCTCTAAAAGTGGTATGAACCCACCTTATATAAAGGCATTTACATTTCTATCTCTATCTCTATCTCTCATGTCACAAGGTTACTTTACCACATGCAAGTGGGTCTACAAAATTCAAACCATTTACAAATTTATACATGGATAACTTTGTACCCAACATTCTCCCCTCAAAGTTAGAATGGATGACCCGCTTCAAATCTTCCAAACTCGAGCAGCTTCACGAACCGAGTCTTAAACGTGACACATGTAGAGATGAACATCAAATCTTCAATTCTTCCATGAATTTTCAATTTGGGTTCTAGAATGTGAGACCATACAAACCAAGCATCAAAAGGTAATTAGGAGTTTCTCATTCTCCAAAAAATTACCCAAAATTTGAGCATTTATGCACACTCCAAAAATCTTCAATAAGTCTAAACCCATCATGAACCGAAATCACTTCCAAATCTCCAATCGAATCATTTCTTAAACTTCAAATACTCAAGGTCACTTCGGTCTTCAAGTCCGCATAATATGAAATTTTCAACTTTTGAATTTCCATATCTAAATCTCTCCCCTTTTTTAGAATCGAAAAATGATTATAAAACCAAAAGAGAATGAAAAAGCGCTCAATTCAGAATTTTTCTATCCAAAACTCCCCCTTCACACATGGCATAAACATTTTGCTTTAATCCAAAAAATCCAAACATCTCCAACTTTTAGCTTCGCTCACGAATTACCTTTGACAAAATTTCACAAATATGGGTAAAATTGTCAATTTCAAAATTTTGCAGTGACCCGGTGCACCCAAAACAACCAAAAATGTAAAACACTCCCCCATTTTTTGAAACTAGGTAGAAAGCGTCAATTAGCATTAACTACAGGGGCCTATTTCAAAAATTATCCCATTTCTCAGAAATTTTAGCCCAATGTCGAAGTTAGGTAAATTCTGCCATTTCGAACAAACTTCAGGAATTCAAAATGAAACTTCTTCATAATTCTTCAAAATGTCGAAATTATACTCCAATGTCAAATATAGGTATAAACTGCAGTGTTCGACAAAAGTGCAGGCGCTTGAAATGAAAATACTTTCTTTTCTCCCAAAATGTCGAAAATCAGTCCTTATTTCGAAATGAGTGTAATCTGTCAAGTCTTAGAAGCTTTAAAGACCAATTCCAAAACAATTATATCTTCTTCTCCAATTCACTAGTTCCAGTTGCGAATATTATTTATTTTTATGTCAAGTAGCGACCTTCGAACCTTCAATCTCCAGATGCAACCTTCAAAATTGAGTAATTAACCCTCGACATTGATACCATATATAAACCCTCGAACTAGATCCCGATCCAACCAATTTCGTCGAGTGATGTCGAGTGTCGAGTGGGAAACCCAAAACCTTCAACAGTGAATCAAACCTATTTGACCATCGATCTCAAAATCTTCGTCCTTAGCTTTTCATTCACTAACCCAAAATCAATATCATTAACAATCAAAATCAATATACCTAACCAAAAACAATTTCATTCTCAAGCAAAACATGTTCACAGTCTTCGAAATCGGTGTGAGTTCGACTTCCTGATGTCGACTCCCAAAATGACACCCTTCGAAATCAAAAACAAAAACTTGTCATCTGTTTGTAATCAATATTTGATATTAAGGATCATCAATCGATACTCAAGTATCGACCATCGACATTGATTTCTGTTGTGCGCAAATCGACTATCGACTCATATTCCCATATCGATATACATGAATTCGTTCTTCGCTTTTTCATTCAAACCTTGACATCAAAATCGAAATTTTCAAGTCTATTCACAAAATTGATTTCCAATAGCGTTCAAATCCACTCACCATTACCAAACCTGCAAATTTCTAACCTCAATCAAGAACGAAATCAAAACAATAGTTGTTCATTCTCAAACGTTTTTTTGACTTTCGAAAGCCAATCTGTCCATCTAATTCGTCGATCCTAGACATCGATGATATCTAAATCTTCCAATAATTGACTTCGAAATCAATCAACACAAGCATCGATCATTCAACATCTCAGAACGCGTATTTTGACTTTTTGAATTCGTCAATCGATAAACAAAAATCAATATTATTTTGAAAATTTTCGGATCAATCATCAAATATCAACTCTGCGTCACAAGTTCTTCATAATAATTTCAAGATTTTTGATCAATTTTATCAAATTAAAAAGTCAATTTTCGAATTCTTGGTTCTAACTTTATCATAATCAATGTTTGTGATTAAAGTCAGTACAAAGAATCGATTCACAAGTTCATCTCTACAAACAAAACTAATCAATCGATAAGAGTGATGAAAGTAAAACGAAACTCCAGAACTAAAAACAAAAGAACACATTGAATGCGACTTCAGAGCATATGATGACAAACACATATATGTCGACTGAATTTGATGAATCAATGGGCTCAATAATGTGAACAGTATCGGATTCATTATTTTAGATCATAAACAAACAAAATATTGGGCTTCAAAGTTTGGATCAATGAATAGTAATGGTTGATATTTTGGCTAAATATCAAAACTTGAATCAAATGAATAGCAATTGATTATCAAATGATTTAAATCAGATTTTAATCTTAAAAACAATTTTAACAATGGATCGATTATGAACAGTAAGTATACTCATGATTTTACTTTGCTTTGGCTAAATCAATGAAAGAAATATATTGGATCATAACAAATGGGTTTTTCAAAAAAAATTGATCCAATGAATCAAAATGATCAAAAATTCAAGAACGTGAGGCACAAATCAAAGAGATTAAGAGAGATCACAGAGAGGCTCACCATAAATGTTCCAATTGTGATGAATATAGCCAAACTAAGAACCGTTTCTTCAAAAAAAATCATGTTGATCTTCGAATGTCTGCTTTGATACCAAATGTAGTGAATTATGAACATTGGTTTGGCATGCGGAATTAAAGAACACGATGATTTGTGTGTTTAAGAGATGCATTCGATTATGAAAGGTGTTTATAAAAAGGATATAGATCTAAATCTAAATAATTAAAACACACTAACACTCTCAATGTTACATCTCTCAAGCACATCTCTAAAAGTGGTATGAACCCACCTTATATAGAGGTGTTTACATCTCTCTCTCTCTCTCTCTCTTTCTCTTTCTCTATATATATATATCATGTCATAAGACTACTTACCACATGCAAATAGGTCTATAAAAGTCAAACCATTTACAAATTCATACATGGATAACTTTGTACCCAACAAAGTGATCTATATCTGATTTATCTGCAAGCTCCATGACATACCCACACTCTGGGTGTTTAAAAGACAGATTTATGACTATTAAACACACTGATCTTATTTTTAACCATTTGTAATAATATATGATGATCAATGTTAGGAGGAAGATTTAAACCATAGTTTTTCACATTATTTCTAACGTAAACCTCATTTCCATTAACCGACTGCCACAACCCTCCCATACAGAGAATAATAAAACTCATTTTTACAAAACTCTCTCGATAAAGATAACGAAAAAAATGACTTCTACTGATTAAAACATTCATAAAATGAAAAAAAAAAAAAAAAAAAAAAAGTCGTTTCTGATCACCAAAAAGGATATAAAACAATAATAACGTTAAAAAATCATATATAATCGAAATAAGGTTAACTATTGCTTAAGCATGAATAAAACTAAAATTTTCATAGAGAATTAATCAATTCTATAGAATTGTTCATAGATCCGTCGAGAGGGCTCTGCGAATCATCTAACAACCATTTCCTCAGCGCATTACTGCGATTCGCAGAGGCGTCACATGATCTGCAGAGCTTCATCTACAGAACGCCATAAAACCCGGAATTTTTTATCTTTTTGTGATGCCATCTCAATTCCGCAGAGGTGTTTATAGATCCTCAGAAGGTTTATTTGATCCGCAGAGCACCTTCTCCGGATATTATAGTCATTTTACAAAACATTGATTTTCATGGTCAAAAGGTTAATACCCCCAACCCCACGCACACAAAAATGGTTATTTGACGAAAAATTCTCTTTAATAAAATTGTGTTGTTCCGTACGAGTTGGTGCTTTCTATTAAACACCATATTTATGAAAAACTAAATCGGACATGTAAATTTATAAATTGATTCATCATTGGACTTGCAAGCAACTAATTTTTACGTGGTTATATATTTAATGAAATAATTTTTTATAGAAAATATATATGTTCAAAAAGTCGTGATTTTCGTTTATTTAGTTTTCCATGCGAAAAGTAAAAAATATGTTCTACAGCAAATAAGACATTAAAATACTATCGTAGCTACAAAATTTATATAATAGACAACTAATATGATTATTACAACAATGCGTTTCGCGACTGGAATTTCAGGTTATAGACAAAAATATAGCAATGGAATTATAACAATTGTTACGTACACAATATACAAAGTAAAATATATTTACATATTTTTCTTCCATATCAACTAAATCCCAAATGATATCCACATCCATCACATGGATATTAGTCTCGTTCTCAATCCAATACATGTCGTATTCTATGTTTTGATATCTTGTCATGTCTTGTCATGTATCAGCCTAAGCTGCTCTAAGTAAAATTCCTTCACTTCGTGTTCTTCGAATTACATTCTTTGACCCAATGGTCATACGTTTATTACTCAAATCATGATAATTGTGCCTTACATTCACCGTCTTCATCCCACTCGGTGGCAAGCGAACATGTCGGGCATGAGAACTTGTGGGTTGACTTTTCCGACAATGAGTTGACTTCCGCATGCTACGGTCCAACGAGCCAAGTTGGGCGGCCCGGTTGACCGGATCTTTTAATGAACCCGGTTTAATTGACTGTCGATTGTAGTAAGCTAAATGTGGGAGGAGCCCGGTTAGATACTTTTTGAGGTGTTCATCGCCTACGTTTTTTTGGGCCGGGTTACCCTCAAGCCCAATGGCTTGTAATGAGTTATAATTAGCGGCGAGCTGGCCTAGGTTCTTTGTGGTGGACAACTTGTTGAAACGCAGATCCAAGACTTTTAGTTTTAAGAGACGGTGTAGACCTTCAACCTCGCTTATTTTGTTTCCGGCTAAGTATAGTTCTTTTAATGATGAACAAGCTGCTAGACCTTTCAAATGATTGAAATTTCAATTTTGTTAAGTTAGTTGTGAAAAAAAAAAAGTTAAATACAAGAAATAGCAATGTACTTTAATTTATGTGTGTATTATAGGATCCTATTTTCATTCTTTATAGTTGTATGTAAAAAAAATGCTAAATGCAGGAAATGGAAATGTAGTTTAATTTATTTGTATATTATTGCATCGTACTTTCATTCTTTATATTATTATGTTGTCTAAAAGAAAGGCTAAATGCAAGAAATACCAATATACTTTAATTTATTTGTAGTAGCATCCTACTTTCATTCTTTATTTTCTTAAGTTGTTTGTAAAAAAAAGGCTACATGCAAAAAAATAGTAATGTAATTTTATTTATTGGTGTATTATAGAATCCTACTTTCATTTCTTTTGCTTACTGTTTTGTATTAGTTTTCTTATTCAAGCATTGTATTTTGAAAAATCTATCCAATTATCGCAATGAAAACATGAATTGCTTTATATTTTGGATGCAATGCTATAACTGCACTAGAATTTCATAGTTCAATGTTGTAATCGAAAGAACTGAAAGTATTATGCTATAATAAACAAATCAATGTAGGTACCTTGCTATTAGTATTTCTTGCATTCAACCTTTAAAATAGAAAATATAGTAAATCTAGTAACAAGCAAATTACAATAAATAGAAACTAATTGTACACCATGTAATGGTTTTTTAACGGTTTTTGAAATTTTAATCGTTTCATTTGTCCAGTGACCAAACTACTAATGAAATAAAGGTTTGTTTATGTTCATCACGCTTTCTTTTATATGTTTATTATAGCGTACTTCTTTCATTTTTTTCTATTACAACATTATACTTAGAAAAATTAAAAGTACTAAAATCTACAAATTTACATGAAGAACACGTACCATGTCCTATTCGAAGTATACGGTTGTAACTCAGATCAAGTGCACGGATTCGAGTAAGTTCCCGTAGCCCTTCAATAACAGAAATATTGTTTTTTGATAAGTTGAGAATATGGAGTCCTTTTGGAAGAATGCCTGCCGTGATCCTAACTGTTAAAATTAAAAGCATCATCAATCAAGAAATTTTTTGCAAGAAATAGCGACATACTTTCATTTATTTGTTTATTATATCATCATACTTTCATTTCTTCCTATTACAACATTCTACTTTAAAAAATCTACCAAATTACTGCAATGTCATCCAAAAACAATGCAAAATCAAAATAAATGAAAGTATGATAATAAACAAACATATAGAAGTAAATTCCTATTTCTTTCATTTAGCTATTAAAAAAATAACCAAAAGCAAGAAGTTCAAACCTATCGTGTTTCCCGACAAATTAAGCTCCTTCATGTTTGTATACGCGCTCAAAAACGGTATTGTAACCAAACCATGGTTAGCCAAATGAGCAGTCGATGATGAACCACTCAATGAAGAAATATAACTTTTTGCAGCATCCATGCCCCGAACCCCTTTCGTTCCCATTCTCGAAGTGGCCGAACAATCCAAAATAGTGGTTCGAGCATTATTCACCCGGTTATCAAGATTCACGGGCTTGTTGACTTCATTGACCGGAGTATAATGAAGATCCATAACCCATTTCTCAATCCGTTTAACTTTAAAATCCTTATTCGCCAATCGGTCCCAATTACGACCCGTATAATCTTCTTGAATTTTTTTCTCTTTTCCCGATTCATCAACCCCCGGAACTATCCAATCTTTAGCGGACCCCACATGGTTACACGAATCCGAACTATCATCCGTAGTGTTTTTTTCGGTTTCGACTCTTTCTAAAGCTTTTAAGTCATCGGTAGATTGAGATTGATCGACCAATTTAGACAACGAACTTTCAAGAAACGGTAACGAGTTCGATTTGACCAACTGTTGTGGAAAATCTTGGTAAAATCGTGACTCGTTGTCCGAGATTTCTTCATGGGATTGTTGGTATCCGGAAGATACCGATTCTTGATTAACGAGATTAGAACTTACTTGAAGTGAATTGGATTTTTGGTTTTCGGGATCTTTATCATCTTTATCTGTGAACTCAATTATGGATTCGGTATTATGGGAGCTTGTGTACTCGGAATCCATGGGGTATTCATCTGCAGATGTTCTTCCATCATAGTCTATGAGGTCGCTCCCGAGGGACACGCTTTTTCTTATATGTCTTGTTGTTTCGGCTATTTTTTCGGTTTCCATGTGGTTTAGGGTTTTAACTTGTTCCAAAGATTTATGAATTGCTCCGCTAGATATGTAAACAAATTTCTGTATTAAATAAGATATAGAATTAATAGGGATATTGGGTGTTCTCTTTTCTTTAAATATATTTTTGAAAATTATTTGAAAGGATACCACTTAATGGGCTTAACTTGGACATGGCTTTATCTGGTAAGTTATATATGGGTGACACTTAATAAAGTCAGAAAAATTTTAAATATATATATATATATATATATATATATATATATATATATATATATATATATATATATATATATATATATGTTTTCCCTGTTAAGTCGCATTTTTTAAACATTATATACTATATTATATATTATGAGTTTATGACAACACTTAATCTGAAAGAAAGAAAGAAATAAATGTCTTAACTAATTTTACATATGTCTTAATTGTCAACAATTCTTACAAAATAATTCAAATATGTTTACTTTTAATCAATTTTGTTGACGCACCTTTGACTTGTGATAGAGAATGGCTGAATAGATGCACAAGAATCTAACCATCTTGGTCAACCCCGACCCGAGTTGACTCACATCTTTTTCTACTAGCTTTAGCCGTAGTTAAAGGAAAGTCCAACTAAAACACTACAAAGTTTCCAGATATATATGATGATCTTGATCTCCTCAAAACACTAAGTAGAGTCGCTACATTTTTATCACCCCACATCCAGGCTGAAAAAACGATTCATGCTACTATCAGCTTGATATGTGCCTAATGGATAGTAAAAAAAAAACAAATTAATGAACTAAACTGGGTATTAAGGGAATTATTTTACAAGTATTATTAAGATATATTTAATTTCAGAAAAATCGTAATAGGTCGTTTATTGATATTTTACGGATCATGGTAATATATTGGTAAGCAGTTTGGTGCTTCGTTACAATAATGAGTATTATGGTTGTTATTTTTAGGAAGAGGGATGGATAAACCACGAGTCCATGAGCAAGCCCGAAGTACACCCTCTTGGCTATGTTTCAGGTGAGTTTAAGTTATCGTGAAAACTTGGTACACATAAAAATAATACGGTGTCACTATTTATATGTTTTAATAGCAATTGATAGACATCATTTGACAGGGTTTTGTTTATTTAGGGTTTGTTTGTTATGAAAGAATAGAATCACAAATGAATGGAATGATTTGAGTAATAGAATGACCAAGTTAGTGGAATGGATCATTACATTCTGTTATCATGTTTGGTTGACTCGAAGGAATGGAATGAGTCACTCAAACTTGTTGTTTGTTATGCATAAGTAATTAATTATACATATAAATTGGATTAAGTCGATAGGGTCGTTTCTTATGATGGTCGGCTACATACTTTTGGATGACTTGTGTATTGATACTGAAAATTATTTTAAGTTGTTATTTTTATAGTATAAGGTGTTACGATTTACAAAAATATTAAAAGGAACAATGTACTTTCCCCATTTTATCGAATAGCAACGTCCTATACATCTTTTTACCAACATAGGCAATATATTTTACCCCTATCAACAATCTACTTATGGTTTTACCCATAATAGCGACGTAATTATCTTTTTTACTGAAAATAGCAACGTACGTACATTTCTTGATACCTAATAGCAACATATTTACATTTTTTTACCAAGAATATGTAACAAAGAAAGTATATTGACCATATTGGTAGCAAATTGTAAATATGTTGCTATTAAGGGTAAAAATATAAGCACGTTGTTATTATGTGTAAAAAATAAAATGCATTGCTTTTATTTGTATAGAAATATACTTGTATTGTCACTATGGCTAAGACAATATCAGTATGTTTTTTTTATTTATTAAAGGACTTCTAAGAAATTATGCTTACTACTCTAACGAAGTGAAAACATCGAACAAAGGTGTTGTTTGACTTGTTTCCTTTGACTTAATGGACTTATATATGGGTTTTTATTTTTGACTTAGTGCATAGAACAATTTAATAGAAAAAATAAAAAATGAACCTTCCTCCATCAAGTCCTAACTTTTTACGAAATTTCCTTTTTCTTACTTTTCTTCCTTCTATACATTTTTTAAATATTTTTTAAACAGTAAAAAAGAAAAAGAAAAAAAAATGTTTGTTACTATGTCTGACTTGGATTGATTCGGCAAAACTGATGATCACATCCTTAAGCTAATGGATCATGTTTGTCCCATGACCAACTAAATCTTAATAAATAGATCATATGATCCATGTATTGATAGGCTTAAATGGGCCAACCCATTGGGTTGCTAATTGAATCAATGAATCAAGTCTTTTTTTTTTTTTTTCTAATCATTTGGATCACATAAATGGATAGATTCAACAAGATCAAGACCCGCCCCATTGACACCTAGGAATTACATCGATGTAGATTTTATCATTGTAGGATATATATATACATATTATTAACTTGTTTATGTCTTCCTCATACCCTTAATTGAAATAATTTAATTAAGTCGTTAGTGGCAAACAATGAAACCTAATACAGTTTAAGCAACCCTAAGAGAGAACTTTCATAACACTCACCAATGAAAAAACCAAAACCTATTATATCAACGCAAGATATATAAATTCTCAATCAAAATTAAAATTTTAGGGTTGAATCAAACATACTATGAACAGATAATCTATTCATCAGAACATATCAAATTTCAAAGAAACCCTATCAAATGTTAACACATTAAAACATAGAATTATAAACCAATGAACTATAAAAACAGGCAAAAGATTTTGAAGAAAACTATTTAATGTGTTGGAAATCTAACCTCTTTACACCCAAGACTTGTAAAACTTCAAGATTTGATCTTCTTTTTATTTTCTTCCTGAAATTACCTTTTTATTGTTCAGATAAGAGATTGAAAAGGGGAAAACGGAGGTTGCAAAAATGCACTAATTTCGGTAGTTTCTTTTCAATGTGGGTAAATTTGGGGAAGGGACAAGAACAATATTGCTATGAAAGAATGGTGAAATTGAGGAGATGGTTTGCAACAATGTTAACCCTTGAAGCGAATTCCAAAATGCTTGGCTGGGGATTAATAGAAAAAACTAACGTTATTAATTGTTTGTTATGTTGGTGTATTACTGTAAAGTCTAGGGAAATTAACTAATTTTAACCGATATAAATGAGTCTATTAGCAAAAATAATAATTATTTTTTAATACAATTTACATAATAACCACAAGTGAAGGGTGGATGTCGGATACCTAAAACTCAAAATATCTCATTGCTAGTCAAATGGTTGTGGCCTCTTCGAACCCAGAAGAATAATTTATAGAATAAAGTTATTCAAGCTGCAAAAAAATATAATGATAAAATAAAATAAAAAAATAAAAATAAAAACCTTACGAGGCATATGGCAAAGCATCAACAACTCCTTCTGTGATCTTTATAGCTTAGGCATTGCCCCTAAAAACATTATTCAATTGTAGGTTATTTTGGGATACAAAACACTCATCTGGAAAGATGTATGGATAGGTTCTCAGAATCTATAACCTCGTTTTTCGAAGCTCTACTCACTTGAATTCTTAAAATCTTGTTATATTGCTGAAAGGAGAGTAGGAGACAGTTTTAAATGGGTATGGGGATCTGCACCCAACTTTGCTAAAGCTCAATTGGAGTTATCAGAATTAAACTCGCTTTTATGTAATCATAATTTCACGTAGGGGGTGGAAAATTTTTGAAGCTTACTCAATCCTGAAGGGAATTTCACTATGGAGGTTGTTAGAAAACTCATGGACTCCAAGAACAATACTAAAGGTGGGCATACCATTACATGGCCGAAAACTACCCCACTAAATCTGTCATGCTTCGTATGGAGGGCGGAACATGGCAGAATTCTAGTAGTTGATACCCTTGCAAAAAGAGGAGTTCAAATCACTTCAATGAAATGCAAGTTCTCAGTGACCATGTTCTCATTAGATGTTCTTTCGCCTCATCGGTTCTAGCTTGGATTTTTAAATTGTATGGAATTCCTCAAAGGCAATTCTTAAGAGTAACTGATCTCTTACACTTTGGAGCAAGAAGGGGAAATTGTCTTAGGAAGTCGAAGATGTTATGCACCATACTATAAGGTCTCATTCGTAGAATTTGGAAGGCGATAAATAAATATAAATGAACTTATTGGTGTTGCTCCCCTTTTATTTGTCGTAATTTGTAATTGTACCTCGCTCTTGGCCCAACTAGTTTCTTGCTAGTCTTAGGGTTATATATATATATATATATATATATATATATATATATATATATATATATATATATATATATATATATATATATAGACCACATAGAGCTTTGTGTTACTTATAAATGAGTTCGTATTATCAGTATTTTAAAATATATGTTCGTAGTAGAGGGAAATAAGAGCGAATTGATGGATCAGTGTAGCATATTACTCCAAATTATACATGCATAGTATATATTTGACCACTTATATCAAGTTTGTTTGACTGAGTGTGTTGGTTGCTTTGAAGTCCATGTTACATACTATTTAAATCTGACTATCTTTACTATGTCTTAGATTAAGATAGTTATGTAGATTGTTAACTATAATGATCCATATATTTTCTTGGTTTTTTTAGTAGTATGCCTCCTAACACAGTATAATTTTTTATTGTTGATAATGTTCTGGAAAGTAGTGTGAATCGATTTTCATGGGAAAAATCATTTCGGTAGCAATGGGCCTTCTGGTTCAAGAAATAACTAAATTTGTAATTTGTTAACATGACATTAAGTTAGTTTCCTTCTTATTTATTACAATAGGTTTGTAGAACAGGGTGATGTTGGGTATAATGTTAAGGTTGTGTTGATGCTAGTCCAACATTTAAGGGTGATGAATCAACAACTAATCTAGAAGAATTGATGATATTGTTGAGGATAGTAATATACTTCCACATTGAAACCCAATAGAAAAATTCTAGGGCTTTACTGAATATGATGAGAATGAGACTGCATATATGAAGAGGAGGAAACTAAGCCCTAACAACCCCATCAAGAAAGGTACTCTTATTATTGCTTAGATTCTAAAGAAAGAAAATGTAACATCCCAAATCTCAGAACCAAAAATTTTCATTTTTATATTAATTAAACCATCAACGAAACAAGTTTATCAAAACCATAGAGTATTCATAAATATCCCAAAGGTACATCAGAGTCAAATAAGTGGAAAATCGTGGTGTGTGCATTACGATTATCCCGAGCTCTTCCCCTTAGAACCGGAAGTACTTGATACATAAACAGAAAACTGTAAACACAAAGCGTAATGAGTTCTCTAAAATATCGTATGCCATACATATATGTCAACTCAAGGTTGTACCCGGTCTATTTCACCCCCGACTCTATTTCAACTCATGTGTCAGCACAAGGCTATACCAGACCTATTTCACCCCGAGTCTATTTCAACTAATGTATCAATTCAAGGTTGTACCAGGTCTATGTCACCCCACATACATATAGCAAATAGGCACATAGGCATAGGGACATACAACAAGAGTCATAAAGACTACAAGAACAAACAACCCTAGTGTCCTACTACATAGTGAGCAAACTCACCTCAGTCTGCTGAAAGTCAAATAGATGCTCAGGCTGCTAAACCGGAGAATCCCCACACTAATCAATAAAATAAAACCCTAATTTATAATTGGGTCATAACTTTGTAAACATATAAAATTCTCATAATTGGCCATTTTACCCTTTTGATCAATATTTGACTAAAAGTAAACTTTCTCTGAATTTCATTTTCTTATAATAGTGGTATCAACAACGTAACACCATAGTTATTTAAAAAATATATTAATTTAAATTTCTTTTTCCTTTAATTATTATGCATGACAATATGTTTACATTCTTGTGTATCACAAAAAGAAAAACATGTTATTCGTTATGATGAGGATATTATTGATAGGAGGTTTAATAAATTAGCAAGTTGACGAATATACCAAATAGATGGACATAGATATCAAGTGACTTGCTAATAAAAGATTAGTTCAATTCACTTACAAGACCATTTGTGTAGATGTGGGAAATAAATATTGACTAGTATATCTTGTTCCCATGTTATTGCGACTATCAAAGAACTAGGATATAAACAGTACCATAAATGGATCGAACATTATTTCACAACATAAACATATCTAGTAACATACTGAGTGGTGATATTTTTTGTGCTTGTTTCTATTGAATACGAACGATCGGATGAAGTCATGGTTGTATTACCATCACTGATGGATAGACTATAAGTTTGGCATCTATGAAACTATAATCATATCCCATCCGAAGTTGAAGGTATGATACAAAAAAATATTGTCATTGGGACATGCAACTAGAAATTGTAATGTTGGGGTCGAAATTGTTGTAAGGTGTTAAAACGTCATATGTATTTAGTGAGTATTGAAGTCAGTTTTGTTTATTTGCATAAGGTATATTGTAATGTCGAAGCATGAATGTATAAGCCCCTAAGTATTTTTTGTATGTTTTTGTTATCCCTATAAATAGGTGATATATACTAGAGTTAGAGGCATCTTTGAAGCCTTACTTTACTCTATATTCTCTCTGTACCTTTCAGAAACATAAATCGAGCCATATAGATTCTATTTACTTTATGTGTTCATATTCCAATCTTAACTTTGAATACATTCAAACACTCGATCTATCTCAACTACATTTCATATCATAGTAGGATTCATATAACTGCTATCTGATTTTCTTTTGATTTCAAAAGTTTTTGAATCTAGTTCTAGACTCAAAAATCATTTTGCACTTTTGAATTTGAAAATCTCTACATATATGTTGTATTGTTTCGATTCTGCTTTTGGTTTTTATAATCGAGTGTTTTTGGTTTGATTTCTGGAAGTTTTAATCATCAAATACCTAATTTCTAAAGTTTTTTTTTCTCAAAATCATTTGCATACATTAATGGCTAATTTCAACACGAACAGCATGAATTCTTATTCTTATCTTTTTGGTTCATCAACTAAGATCCCGATGTTGATTCCGAAATTCTATGTACAATGGGCTGATAGGATGGAGGATTATCTCACTAGAATAAATGAAGATCTCTGGAGGTGAATTAAGACTGGTAATTTTTTTCCGTTAATGCTAACTAAAGTTGGAAGTGCTGGTTCTTTAGTAGATGTTAATGCTCAAGCTGATAAGAAGAAAACAAACAATAAGTGATGCGTGCGTGAATTGGGAGGATCTCTTCCACCAGTTGTGTATAACTATTTCCATGGTTGTTCTTCTGGAAAAGAGATTTGGGACACACTAAAGGAGAAATATCAAGGAAGTGAGAAAACCAAAAAGAGTTATGTTAAGTAATGTCTACTTGAGTTAGGAGATTTCAAGAAAAAAGAATGTAAAAACATCGAGTTGTACTATGATCATCTGAATGGGTTAATCTTTAAGTGTAGCAGATATGGTGTCAATAGATCAACAATGGAGTACATGTAACATCCCAAAAACTTGGACCAAAACTTTCATTTTTAAATTAAACAAATATAAAATAATTTATAGAAAACATCATCAAGTTACTTCATTCCATAAAAACCATAGATCATATGTCTCAAAATCATATCATAAGATAGTAACAATGTCAGAGTACAAATCTATAGAATCTCATATGCGGAAAATCATGTGTGTGATGCGCTGCTACTGGGCCGACTCCTTTCCCTTCGAGGAAGAAGTACCTAAAACCAAAACTGAAAACTGTAAGAATAAAGCTTAGTGAGTTTCCCCATCATACCACATACCATATAATCACATAATGCCTAGAATATATGGGTGCTGGCATCCCCTTCAGTTCTCTCAAGAGGATCGACGCCAAATGAATAGAGAACCTCTCATTGAACATGTTCAAGACACACCCACGAAAAATCCTTAAAGCACTCACGGTACGGTGATCCGCATTATCCACCTCTAGAGGGGAATCCAAACTCCTCAAAGCTTCTCGAAACTTCTTGTTGCGCATAAAAGAAACAAAGGATCAGGTAGCCCCCGAATCAAACAGAACATGAGCAGACAAACCATTGATAAAAAAGGTCCCTATACAAGATCACAATAAGCATAAGCATAAACATAGAAAGCAAAAAAAAAAATAAAGACAAAACACATACTAGTAACTACATCTGGAACTGCACGGGCCTCATCGGTGGTCAGCTAAAAAGCCCTGCTCTTCACCATAGGACCCTCCTCCTTGACTTGGCTTCTGTCAGTAATCCTCAAGGTGGATGGTGCAGGCGCCGCCACTGCTCCCCCAAACAACCTCAGACAATCGACATTTCTATGGCCGGTCTGATTGCAATAAATGCAAATCAGAGCGCACTTGGGGAAATCCCTACTCATATGTCTCCACTGGCTATAGCTAAAAGATCATGAACCTGCTGATCAGTAACCTCCATTGTGCGGCTTGCCGCACTTGGCGCAATGACCCTGACCCTGCTAGCCTCTAGTGTGTGCATCAGAGGTCTTGTGCCTCTTAGTCTGACCTACTGTGGTCTGAACCTTCTCTGGCTTCTGCTTCTTCTTGTACCCTGAAAATCTCACGAACTCCATGATATCCTTTCTCAACGTGTCATGATATCTC